AGAAAGTGTTTCAGGGACAGGTCAGGAGAGGTGAAAAGGTAGGGATGACTTCAGAAAAAGACAGCACCAAGCATGATGGGAACACAGCTATAACCTCAGCATTTGGAAAGTAGTTCCAGATCAGCTTGGTCTATATAAGGCAGATTCTGTCTTAAAAGACCAAAATTTAAATTAAAAAATAAAGAGGGGAAAAAAAGACAAGACAAAGGGAAATGTATTTTATTTTTAAAGTATTTGAGTTTAATTTCAGCACCAGGCGACAAAGACAGGTAGAGTTTAGTAAGTCTGAGGCCAGGTTGATTTATCCATATTGAGTTGCAGGCCAGCCACCACTGTCTCAAAAATAAAATACAGTAAGTTTTCTAATCTGACTAAGGACTTGTACCAAAACTCAGACACATAAACATAATATGGATAGATGTATCAGTAAAAATATATAAAAGGTAATCTTTACATTTAACCAACATACATGGAGGTAAAACAAAAAGATATTTAAGACTGTCAGCCATTAGAGAAATACAAACTGGAGCAACATTCTTCTATATGACTCCCACCAAAAAGGCTAAAATTAGAGCTGGAGAAATGGTTCCAAAGAGCAGTTATTGCTTTTGCAGAAGATCTAGATTTGGCCCCTCGCATCCACATGGTGATTCACAACTATCCTTAACTCCAGTTCGAGGCACTCTCTTGACCTCCACATACACATATAGACAAAACATTCATGGGCATAAAATAAATCTTGTTTTTTTTTTTTTGTTTTGTTTTCTAGAGCTGAGGACCGAACCCAGGGACTTACGCTTGCTAGGCAAGTACTCTACCACTGAGCTAAATCCCTAACCCATAAAATAAATATTAAAAATAAATATTAAAGAAGGGGGGCGGGGGTAAAATTAGGAAGAGCCCATACACCAAGTGGGAATGTGGTGTGGTGCAATTATGTTGAAGAAACGTTAAACAGAATGTACAACCCAATCTTATAAGTGAGGATTTGTGCCTACATAAAAAAAAACAAAACAAAACATACTTTATGTTTTCCAAGGTCTAAGTGAAACTTTAGTTTTCACTATTTATAGCTTCTTTGTAAACTCTCACCAGTATTTTTAAAAGAATTTTGGGTGAAATTTTGTGTTTTGGTTTTCTTACCTCAAGCTGGCCTTAAACACAGTACCCTGCTGCCTCTGGTTCCCATAAAATGGGATTACCAATTTAGAAAAACATCTTTGAAAAAAACAAAACACTACAAACAAACACATTTACTGTATTTAGGGTAAGGGACAGGTCACATTATGTGTGTGGGTCAGAGGACAACTTGGGCATAAGTTCTCTTCTCCTGTGTGGGTCCCACGACTCTAACTCGGGATGTCAAGGCTCAGCAGCAAGGGACTTTTCTCACCTGGCCATCTCACTCTGGACTACTGTGGAACTGGCAATATGTGCTAGGCTGGCCTGGAACTTGCAGACAATCCTGCCTCAACCCCCAAATGTCGGGATTATACGTGTAAACAACCATACCTGGCTGTGTACACAGTATGAATGTATGTCCACCTGTATGTGTGGGTGCGCCAGCCTATGCATGAAGGCCAGAGGACAGAGGGCTTTCTCTTCCTTTATTCCTGAGACAGGATCCCTTGCTGAAGATGGAACTCTCAGATTAGCTAGTTTGATACAACAGCCATTAAATCCAGTAATGTTCCTGTCTCCACCTCAGATCCCACCTTTGTACAGGGGTGCTGGGGACCCAAATTTGGCCCTCTTGCCTGTACAGCAAGCACTTACCCATTCAGCCATCCCATCCTCTTTCTTGTTCTTAAAGAACGCATCTCCTGTAGCCCAAGCTGCCATGGAACTCCTTAATCCTCCTAACTTTGCTTCCCAAGTACTAGAGGCATGATCCACCATATCCAGTTGAATTTTCTTCAATTGCCCTTGTTTTTTATTTTTCAGAAAGGGTCTCCTGAATTCCAAGCTGGTCTTGGACTCTTTATCCTCCTGCCTCTACCTCCAGAGTGCTAGGATTACAAACTGACACTTCCACAGCCAGTATGTCGTGCTAGGAATGGAACCCAGGGCTTTTGCTAGGCAAGCACTCTTATCAACCCATCTACACCCCAGTCCTTAATCTTCACGTACTTAAGATCAGACAGTGAAGAAAGCAATCCTGTTTGTGTGGTTTGGAAGTCGGTGCTTTTGGAATACAGTAGAGTCATTATCTATAAAAACTGGTTGTTTTGCCTTAGATTACTCCATAGCCAGAGATCTCTGTTTAGCTTCTGAAAAAGTTAGTGAAGCCTTACATTTTGTTTTGTTCATCTCAAAACCTCCATAAAAGTTAACATTCCAGTTTTAAGGTTACTTGGCAGTAATTCATTATTAGGAATACAAATAGTAGAAACCTATAAGGAGAAAATGCAAATTACAATATCCTGAACAATTATAATGTTTAAATCTAAATATCTTTAAGAAATCGATTTACTAAGTTCCACTGAATTAGAATTTAAAAGTTTTTTTATGAAAGAGTTTCACTAAATATCCTTCAAGCTATCAACAAGCCTCCTTCCTCAAAAAAAAAAAAAAAAGAAAAAAGAAAAGCATTACAAGAGCATTTTAAAAGGTCATTCACTAACCCCCACAAGCACTCATTCACACAAACAAAGAAACTTATTAGGTGAAGGGTATTAATTAGATTTACTGTAGCTTTTATTTCAAAATGGCCTTGAACTCCTGATCGTCCCCCTTTTACCTTGGAAGTGCTGGAATTATAGGTGTCCTCCATCTAACCCAGCTAAAATAACTTCTAAAGAAGTGCTAATATAAAGTATGCATCCTCATTATACTTACATTACTTAAAGCTAAACATGGTTGCAAACACCAGCAAGCCCAGAATTTAGGAGACTAAGGAGGATCAAGAGTTCAAGGCCAGTCTGTACAGAGCAACACTGTCTCCCAAGTCTACCTCTCCTCCCCTTTAAACTTACAAAGACTGTTTGCCATAAAGGTATACAAATCCACTTGTATGTTTGAAAGTGTGTGACTAAGACTTCCTAATAATCAGTGGGGTCATACTCTTCAATTTAGCTGCACTGAAAACAAGTTCCATCTCCATTCAGAAGTCTAAGTAGGAAGAGAATAAGAATGTGGGTTGTTTTTTTTAACTTTTTAAATACATTTTACTTATCTGTTGTGGGGGAGGGGGCAACTTTCAGGAGTCAGTTCTCTTTGCAACAAATGAAGCAGGATCTGGAGATCCAACTCAACACATCACAGGTGGGGTGGCAGCTGCCTTTACCTACTGAGCCATCTTGAAAGCCCTACGGACCATGTTTTAATTAGCTTTATTATATACTGCTGAACTCAATCAGAAATACCAACACAAAACTAAACACTTAGAACTGCCCAACTGATTGCAATAAAAGACCAAATTACATATCTACTCACACAAAACTGTTACCATGTGCTTTATTAAGGTAAAAATCTGTTCTAGACAAATTAAATTTTAAAATAAATTTGCACACCTTTTTTTAGGTCAAGGATTTTTAAAGGACTTTACAAATACTAAAAACAAGTCCTCTAGGTACTTAATGAACATATGTAAATGATGTTTGCACACTGTTGTGACAATGAACACATATTTAAAGAAAAAAGGACAAACTCAGGTACACCCTTGCACACACTGTTATCCCAGCTAGCAGAAGACTGAGATAAAAGTTAAGGCTAGCCTAAGCTATATGGGGAGCCCTTGTAACAACAACAACAACAACAAAGGTACAGACAAAAATTTAGAACATTAAAGTTTTTCATTAAGTACTATGTAATTTTTTACACAAATGTTTGTCTGAAAGGATCTCGAGATGTAGTGAAGAAAAAGCAAGGGGAAAACAATGTTTACACACCATGAATTCAATTTTGTCACACACAAAACATGCACATACATACACTACTATTTATATATGTGTATACTTCTAAGAAGGAAGTAAATCAAGAAAAATAGTCAAAACACAGAAACATTCTGCTCTTTCGTATTTGAATTTTTAGTGACTACACATTCATAAAAAAGAACTTAAAATGCACACCGAAACTACTTGTAAGTAATTTACCACCAGTAGTAAATTAGCTGTAATGAGATTTTATTTCCTTCTATTTTTGATTTAGTGAAAAACAATGACAACAACAAATCTCTTTACCTGGCAAAGAAATGACAGAGTTGGGGGAGGAGGCGCTTGGAAGAAACAGGACATTTTAGTTGACTCAGGCGTGACCCAGCACACTCACAAAACTCATGGTACGCAAAACGAAAAAAGTGGAATACTGCGCCCTCAGTACTGAAGGTTGTTTTTAGAAAGCTTAACTAAGAAACAGAAAATGCCAAGTGTGTTTTCCAGGGGTGGGAACAGGAACGTGAAACCCTACACCACCTAAAAGAGGTCTACAGGACTGACAGCAGGCTGGACCTGGGGAAGCGCGGGGGTGGGAAGGGCTCCGCGATCTCTTTTAGGTTTGGGCTCAGCGCCAGGGTTTACAGGGAGCCAGCCTGGGGTGTGAAGTCCCTGTGGGTGGTCAACAGCGTCTAGGGCGACATCTAACCCCCTGCGGAAGCCGAAGAAGGTGGACAACCAGCACCTGAGCTCTTCGGCCGAGCGGGGCAGCTCCGGAGAAAAGCAAAAGCACCAACTTTTGCTCTCAACGTGGCATCTCCGTAAGGTTCGCCGAGTCTTCTACCGAGTCCCAGCCCACGAGCGACCCCAGCACCTTCCCTGGCCAGTGCCGCCTCCCCACGGCCCGGCTCTCCGGAGGAAGCCCAGCCTGAGCCGCGGCTGGCCGCTTGCAAAGGGGACCTGACCTGAGGGGGGGCGGGCGCCGATCACCGACCCACCTGACACCCAGCCTGCGGGGAGCCCCCGCCGAGGCACGGTCCTGCCGCCAACAGCCCCGGCGGCGCCCCCTCCCCCACCTCCGGGCGGCGACCTCAGCGCCGCCGCCGACCCGGGGGGCCCCCGGCTCACCCAGGTAGCGGCTCCTCAGCCGGGATGGGTCTTCCAGCCCGAGGGACCTTTTCCTCACGTCCCACAACAGGTGCGGGCAGGAGCCACTCCGAGACATGGCTCGGCCGGGGCTGGGGTGGAAAGGGGAGACCACCGCGGGGGGTGGGGAGGGAAAGAGAGGGAGGGGACAGGCCGATCAACACCCGAGCGGCACCAGCACCATGCGCGCGCCGGGCCTCGCTGGCGCCGCGACTCAGATGGCGGCGGCCGCGGCCGCGCCTTCTCCCCCGGAGCCGAGCGGCACCCGGACCGCAGCTCGCCTCATACTCTCTCCTCGCACTACCCAGAACATCTACGGATCAGCAACAGTCCCCTCCCTCGACCCCCCTCCCGCGGGAGGCGGAGGCGAAGGCGGAGGCGGCCGCGAGCACCGCCCTCTCCTCCCTAGGCCACGCCCCTCCTCCCGGCCGTTCTCGCGAGACGACGCCCACCGCCCACAGAAGCCGGCGTGCGTCACGGGTGCCCTCACCCTGGGAGCGTAGATTCGGGCCGCTCTAGCCCACTCCTTAATTGTCTATGGCTAGAAAAGAGTAGTGACGGGAGCCGCCGAAGGTGTAGTCTCGCTCACGCCTCTCGGTTCAAAGGAGGAAGCCGGGCGTGATGGCTCTATGCGTGTCATCCCAGCATTCGGGAGGCTGGACGATGGCGAGATCCAGGCCAGCCTGGGCTACATAACGAGACACCGTCTCGAAAAAAAAAAAGATAAGCAGATAAGAGGAAGCCAGACAGGTAGGCGGCGTCATCTCTAGTTGGAGCGAGGAGAGCCCGGAGAGCTTATGTGAACTACGGCCTTCTTAATCAAAGTGAGGGACCGTCCAGAAACGCGGCTTCAGTTTCCCCTCTCCAACATGTCCTCTAGGGCCGGAAGAATGTGAGAGCCTCGCCCCGCCCCTTCCGCCCTGTGAGGCCGGCCAATTAGAGCAGGCGGCTCAGCGTGCGCAAGCGCCTTGCCCGCCTGATGGCAGCCGCCCCTGCGCGGCGACCTCTGTATCACCTGTTGCCATGACTCCTCCTCCCTCTCCCCCGCCCGTCCGCAAGAGGCGGGCTTTGGCCGAGGCCCCGCCCCTCCGCCTTCGCCAGACGCGGCCACAAGGTGCTTCACCTCAGGCAAGCAGAGCCGGGGGAAGGGCGTCCTAGGGCAGAGACCGACGCCAGCGCTGTAGGGAGAAAGGGACGAGCCGCCCTTCCTTGTCAGCCAGGACCGAGACACAGCGGCGCTCCCACTCAACTGCTGTCGACCCCTTGGCCCCCGAGATGGCAGCTGCCGGCGCCCGAGGCCTCCGGGCCACCTATCACCGAATCTTGGATAAAGTGGAGTTGTTGCTGCCAGAGAAACTGAGGCCACTGTACAACCACCCAGCAGGTAATGAATCCTGAACGGCACAGCTCGCACCGGGACAGCCCGTCTCCACCCAGAATTGGGACAGTGGAGGCCCAGTGACAGTTCAGTTGCTATAGTAATCGCAGACTCCCAGTCTCTGAAGGGAATCCATCAGTTCTCCTAATCTTTCACCTCGTTTCGTCTCGCCTCTTCCCAAAGCCAAGTACCTTCACCGGGTGCTCTGGTTGACTTTTATTGCCTTCTCTCCCCGCGAACACTACTCACGCCCCCGACCACGCTTGCAGACTTCAACCTTAACCTCTGCCACGAAGGGGTTTGGGGTCACCATGAAAAGCCCTCATTCTGCTCCCCTTTTTTTCCTCCATGAATTTATAACGCATGTGGGATAGAGCTGAAAAGGTGTCTCTGCAGAGGGTTTGCTGTAAAGGTCATACTTCAGCTTCTGTTGGCAGAGGCCTACTGAGTGAGCCCTTCCCAAAACTGGAGGCTTCCCGCCTCCCCTTCCCGGTTCAGTCAATGTCATTCCTGGTTCCATAGATCCAGACTAAACCAGTCATTACGCAATCGCTGACCAGGTTCTCCCTGAGCCTGTTTTTGTGTGGACAGTTATGTATATAATTCTGTTTCACCACTTACCAAGGTATGACCTTGGGCAAAATTCTACACCCCTGTCCTAATTCTCATAAAACGTATTCAATGTGAAAATAAGAAATAACATATACACTTCATTCTTTGGGGATGTTAGCTGTCACTTATACTGGATAAGTATTCCTGAAGTCGAAAATAACAATTCTTTAAGATGGAAGGCCCCTGTCCCTAGCTCTTTACTGCAGTTCTGCACTTAGGTTACTTCTAATACAAAATAGGTGATAATAATACTTGTTTGTGTGGGGACTAAAATCTGATTATCTTATGAAGGCTTTTGAGCATAAAATTTAGTGAATAGGAAAATTTCCTCAGTGGAAGAGATTGAGTTGCTAACAAAAAAAAAAAAAAAAAAAAAAAAAAAAAAAACGAATTTTGCCTTTACATAGATAAACCCAAAACCCATATTCTGCAGTTTACATTAGAAAAGGCTTCATTCTCCCAAGACCTGAAGCAACTCTCTGGAGCCTGGGCTGGTTGCTAAATCTGGTGTCCACTTTGATAAAAGAATGGTGTATATACCTCAATAGCATCACTGCAGTATGAAAACCATTAAAGAACTTTATTAATGAAGTTTACTTAGTTGCCTTTTAGTTTTTACATTTTTTATTTTGCTATGTTTTATGGCAGAGATTTTTAGGATATAATAGTTGGACAACCTGTGTAATGATCAGGGTGTTACAAAATTAATTGAATTCTCTGGCAATTCTTACCCTCCAGCTTTGTGTTTGAGGCATGACATGAGAACAGTGTAGAACAGAAGTTTTAAAGTACTTAAACTAAGAAGGAATTGGAAGGTAGTCTTTTGTTAACCTTTTCCAAGGCCCTGGCTTTCAGCCACTTTTAATTATTGTTTATAGTACTTAAGCTGCAGACTGAAGAATACTTTGTGTATTTCTTCCAGAAGTCTTTGGGTTACTTCCTCTTTTAAGTGTCAGAGAAGGAACACAGACTTGGAAGACTGTCAGGGTTAGGTCAAGGCTTGACTTTTGACCTTAGCCTTAAAGAATGCCCCAAACCTTAGAGAGAAAAAAAAAAAAAATTCACCAAGACAGGGTTTCTCTGTGTAGCCTTGGCTGTCCTGGAACTCACTCTGTAGACCAGGCTAGCATGGAACTCAGAGTCTACCTGCCCCTCTGCCTCCCTAGTACTGGGAAGATGTGAACCATCACCTGGCTGGAAATCTTTTAGACTTAAGAATAATTGTGAAAATTAAATGATGTAATATCTGTAAGTAGCGAAGTGTTTGTTTTTCAAATCAGAACAAGTATTTTCTTCCAAATGAAGGGGTCATGTTTTGTTTTGTTTTTGTTTTTTTTTTTTTTTTTTTTTTGTTGTTGTTGTTGCTTTTGTTTGTTTTTGAGAGAAGATCCCTTCTATTTCAGGTCAGCCTTGAACTTGCTATGTAGTTGAGGTCTTTGTTTAAGAATAGATCTGGACAAGAATTTAAGGAGACCAACAGAGCCAAAAAAATCTGGGCCCAGGGGCTTCTGAAAGAGACTGAATCAACCAAGGACCATGCCCAGAGAGGACCTAGAACCTCTGCTCAAATTAAGCCCATGGGCAGCTCAGTCTCCATGTAGGTTCTGTAGTAAGGGAAGCAGGGCAGTCATTGGCATGAACTTGGTTGCCTGCTCTTTGATCACCTACCCCTGGCAAGGTGGCCTTTACTAGGCCACAGAAGAAGATGATGCAAGCCAATCCTGACGAGACCTGCTAGGCTAGGGTCAGCTAGGGGGGGAGGAGGACCTCCCCATCAGTGGACTAGGGGAGGGACATGGGGTGAAGTGGAAGGGAAGATATGAGGGGCCTACAGCTGGGATACAAAGTGAATAAATTGTAATAAGTGATAATAATAAAGAAAAAAAGAAAGTGGAATTTCCACTTCAAGAATTGTCAATAAGTAATAAATAATTTGTTATTAAAAAAAAAAGAATAGCACATACTGTTCACATACTGTTAATCCCAGCACTCAAGAGGCAGAGGTAGGTGGATCTCTAAGTTTGAGTTCCAGGAAAGCCGGGGCTGGGACACAGAGAAAATCTCTTGCCTCGAAAAACAAATAAAAAAGACTAGATCTTACCATGTTCTCCTGGCTAGCCTCAAACTCAACAGAAATCTTCCTGCCTCTGCTTCCCTAGTGCTGGGCTTAAAGGTGTGTACCGTCCAGACCCGACACCTTGTCTTTTCAGCACCTGGGGCTTGCTTTGAGCTGCAGGTGTCTACTTATCTCTAACTCCATGCCCAGTGCTGGGGTTACAGGCTTGTGCCAGGGCTCCTTATTTATGTAGTGTTGGGAATGGAGCACAGGGCTTTGTGAATGCTAGGCAAGCACTCTATAACTGAGCTACATCTCTAGCAACTAAAGTTTAAAGTAATATGTAATGATGACTTTCACCAAAAACTTATTTGTGATTGAAAAGTTGTAAGGACCGCAATATGGAAATGAGCAAGCATGAAAAATATGACTGTTGGATCAGTCTTTTGAATACTATTATACTCATTATTGAATCACCTAAGCATTAGACTATATTCGTATACAAGGGTTCTTTTAAAAAGTTATGAAAGGTTAGAATATTAATAGTTGGAAAGTATATATTGCTTGTTATAAATTTTCAGTTTTATTTTTGTCAATGACCAGTATTTCTGGAGAGGAGTATAATTTATATAGATATGAGTATATTTTATATAGATGTATATTGTAGTGGGAATAATATGTGGCCCAAAATTTTGAGGCCTTAGTCGTCTCTTTGCTTATATACATCATGTGCTTTGACATAGAATGATCTGCCTCTATAGAAAATAATAGACAACTATGTATGATTCCTAAACAAGCTCCCCAGCTCATGTGAGGGAAGTCATTTAAGCCACCTTCTAGCCAAAGCATGTGGCTCCAGACAAACCAGCCGTGTGACTGTGCTCTACACTTGTCAGGTGATAACATTAAAGCTGCACAATGTTTACTTAACCGCTTAGATGGTGGTATGGCTTGGATGCCCTTCAACTCTGTTGAGACTTAATCTTCATTGAGAGGCATTAAGTAACTGAAAATATAGTCCAACTGTAGTGTTAGGAAGTGGAACCTTCAGGAAGTAGTTAGAATAATATAAATTCCTTAGGCCAAAGTGCCTATGATTGAGTCCTAGTGACTTTGGGACAGAGACCATACATACACCTAAATGTATCCTTTTCCACTCTTGCTGATTTTAGTATGTTTATCCTGTATTATATGTCTGATAGCCATTTATGAGTGAGTATATACCATGTGTGTCTTTCTGCTTCTGGGTTACCTCACTCAAGATGATATTTTCTAGTTCCCACCATTTGCCTGGAAATTTCATGATTTCCTTGTTTTTAATAGCTGAGTACTATTCCATTGTGTGAATGTACCACAATTTCTGTGTCCATTCCTCCACTGAGGGAGATCTAGGTTGTTTCAGATTCTGGCTATTACGAGACTGATAACCCAACCAAGGACCATGTATGGAGAGGACCTAAAACCCCTCCTCAGATATAGCCCATAGACTCAATCTCCAAGTGGGTTCCCTAATAAGGGGAGCATAGGGGGAGAAGAGGGATGGAGGAAGGGTGGGATTGGGGAGGAACATAGGGGGAGAAGAGGGAGGGAGGGCCCCCCAGCCAGGAAACAAAGTGAATAAATTATAATTAATAATAATAATAATTTAAAAATAAAATAAAGCATAACAAAACTTCACAAAAAAAACAAATAAATGTTAACAGCTCTTTTAATTTATTCTTCTGTTTATCCTGATATTAAGGTATTATAACCACATTAGAGATTATAATTATCAATTATTTTTATATTTTCTTCTGAGATATAATTGTAATAGCCTAACCCTGTGTTTTTCAAGGTCTCAATAATGCATGTAGCATTGTTACCAATTGATTAATGTATACATCTAATTTATTTCACCTAAAGCTTCTTTAGATCTAGTGACAGCTTCTATATCTGAATTCATACATTATCTGCTATTTACTCTGAAAATAAAACAAATTAGTTGAGATCAAATGAAAGGGCAAACTAAGTTTTCTTTAAAAATTTTGTTATAGGTATATTGTTTGGGACCCACCCCAACCCCCACAGGAGAAAGGGTCTCATGCTCAGTCCTGGATGGCCTAAAAATCTCTGTAGGCCAGAAAGGCTTGAATTTCACAGAAATTTACCTGACTCTGCTTCCAGAATGCTGGAATTAAAGGCATATAGAACTACACCCATCTGTCCTTTTCTTTTTTAAAATTTAAAAGCAAAATGAAAAACAAAAGCAAGCTACTTTGTATTGGGAGGGGTGGGTCATGCTTATAATCCTATTCTTTGGAAGACTAAGGCCAGAGGAAAGCCATGAATTCAAGGTCAG